GACGGATTTCGAAAAATTTTACATTTAGGGACTTGTAATTTCTCGAAATTCGAGAGATGGAATTCAATGATATAAATCTAAAGAGTATTTTATTATTTATTAATCCATAAGTTTACCATATTTTCTACTAATTATAAGAATGATAAAAGCAAATTGCATTTTAGACCGTAGTTAGAAATGCAATTCGATGATATTGTTGTGATATCATTCAACGATACAAATGAGTTACCATATGTTGTCGGTATTTCAGTGAACTGGTAGAGTAGTAATCGGTAAGAAAAGGGACACGTATGGTCTACTCTACATGAATTACCCTCTGGTCTTATCGATTTTCTGTTTTCTTACTACAATACTAGGTGACTGCATCGTGCAATGTAGAATACGAATGCAACATTAATTATGTGGATCTTATTAATAATCCACATGTTTTATACCAAAAAATATATACATATATATGTACTAAAATTTGCGTTTGCATCATGCTGCCAAAATATAGATATTTAATTAAATTTTACATAAATCTAAGTAAAATTAATTCACACCTAATATCTATTCTAATCTTTGTATGAGTAAAAACCTTGTTAAAAAATAATTTAATTATTAATTAAATAAATAAATGTAACTAAAAATAATTGAGTTAAATTAATAAAGCAGTCTTTTAATTAAAATTATAATGGTGCGGAAATATCTCTTTCGAGATAGAAATTTTTACCTTAACTTTAAAATTAAAGTTAATTTTATTCATATGTGCATTAGCAGAAAATGTTAAATCGCATGATATTTTAATTTTTGCCGTATGTAATCGAACAAATGAAATTGAAGGAATCGATGCTTATTTTGTAACAAACGCCGTGTGCTCGATCATTTTGAACATGTCGGACGTCCGAGGGAGACGTTAAAAAATTTTTAAGTTAATCCGATAATTTAACCATGTTTTCTCGAGCCGCAAAATCAGCTGTGAAGTCCCTTAAGTCACGCCCGAACCATATTAGCGACAAATATTTCAAGGTACTTAATTGGTTTCCGACACGCCGAAAGATTTGGTAGTTTCGTTTTGTGTGCTTCTACTCGATTCACCAGACATTTTATTAGATTATGTCGTCTATTTGCTTGCGTTTCTTTTATCAACACGTCGGTGTAATTAAAAATGCCTATTAGATTGCTTTAACTGGTGGCGCTGGAGAAGTCGGACAGACTCTAACTCAGTTATTAAGACATAATGCAAAACTGAATACTCTTGCATTATACGACGTGGCGGTTAATAGAAGTTTGCCAAATTACAATTTCCATGATGAGGAGGCATTCAAACCTATCGTACGTTACTTATTGTTCACAATTCGCTTTTTAAAGTATTTAGTATAATATGTAAGTTGACGCGGTATTATTTTAAATAAATATCAATAAAATAGCCATCAGGAATGCTAACAATCACGGAGAAATCTTATCCGGACGAAGGTAGTCATTCAAATGCAGCAATTAACACGAGGCAAACAGACAATAATAATCATCAAGAAAATAATGGAAGAGTAAAGTATTAACTTATTTATTATTCATTTCCATTTGAACTCATATCAAAGCGTATTAAAGTCTATTACTTAAATTCAATATATAATTTCTTTATTAATTACAGGCAAACATTTCGTTTTGCCAATATATTAAGCAATAAAATTTATGATTTTTATGATATTAAATATTGAACAAATTTGTTTCTCTCTTTTAGAATTATTTTTATATTCTTATTATTTTCTTTAGAATTGATAAATATAAAGTTGTTACATATTAAAGTATACCAAATAAAGTATAAAATATAAAGAAAGACTGTACGGTAACCAGTCGTTTTTTATGCAGAGTCAGATAGAGAAGCTTGTGGAAGCTCTTTATCGTTTGCCAATAGCTGAAGAAGCTTCGGCACTTAACAATTCATTGATACCCGTCGAGGAAATAATGCCGAAGGTAATAGAAAAGTAAATCTTTAATACTTATAGCTTAAATTTATAATTAAGCTAGGAATTTCTTTCACATGTGTTTCACACTATAATCGTTGTTAAAGATAAAATTGCACATTTTCTTATACACGAAATTGCTCGATAGAATTATTCTCTTTGAGCAATAACATTGAAATACAACGATCTTAGGGTTATTACTACATAAACATTACAGATAATTATAGTTGTATAACTTATGGTAGAGACAGCGCCAAATGTAGTACATACATTGTGTAATATATTGCATATGATTGCACGTATGCTCAAAACAGTAAGCTTCATATAAATTTATACAGAAAGAAGTAAACGTTATCCTTTTTGTGTTATATTTTGTCACAACGAAATAAAATAATTCTTTATTAGTGCAAGCGTAAGATAAAGATTTTGAAATTTCACAAAATTAAGAGGGAAGCAAGATTATCTTTTGTGTTTTTTTTAGAGTTGTTCACTGTATCTTTACGTCTTGGAATCAATTATTAATTAAAAGTTCAAATTGTTACTAAGGTTAATTAAATTAAACATTGAGTTAGGTTTGCGAAAATCCTTTAGAAAATTATAGACACTCCCCTTTCTTCTATTTCTAATCTCTATCATCTAATCTATACAAAAATAACAGAGAGATATCGGTTTTTCTATATTCAATATTCGGATGTTATGACTTCTAAAAATGCATATGTTTTAATAATTATCACAATATAAATTTGCTCATTGCCACTTTACTGGCGTAAGACGATAATAATTGCAGAATTCGCATGCTTGCGTTCCTGCGACGTACGGCCGGTATCGACTTTATTAGATGATAGATTAGAACTTACGTTATTTTCGGAAGCTATAATACGTTGTTGAAAAAAATCTATTCATCAATGTATCTGCCATCCCAAGTTCTTGCAAAACGTTTAACAAGATTTTCTTGGCCATATGTAATTATTTAAGTCATTTCTTAAATAAAATGAACAGCCGTAATGTGTGCCGCAGATATTAAAATAATTGTAAAGTTCCGAAATCTTTGGCATTAGAAGCCTGAAGAAGCACGCATTGAAGATACACGAGACAACACTTTTATTTAAAAAAAAACATATATATATAAACTGGGATACATAAAGTTAGCTAAGCTACGAATAAAGTTAATCGATGCTGAAGACCAGCGGCCGTACGTAAATGAAAGAGCCTAGAGGAGAACTGATGTTGAAATCGTCTCTCCGTCTGTCCTCAGGCGGGCAATGCGTGCGGCAGGATGCGTCCTTACACCAGAATCTTGGGTGAGAAGGATTCCAGCAACGTAAAAATCTGGCAAAGAGGTTACGCCACCGTCGCGATTCGCAAATGCTTCTCCCACTTGATGTATCCGTCGTTTCGGGAGTACTACCTAAACTTCGCTCCAGAAGTGAAAATGTCGAAGAAGCATCGATCGATTAAGGAAACGAGAAAAATCAGACATTCATCCTGCAGCGCGCTCGCTGCGAAAGAAAATAATCGTCAATCGTGGCCGACGTCTTTGTTGAATCGTGGCCAAAAGCCGGCAAGAAGATTGATGATGAAATTTGGAAATGTCGGCGTGCCTCCAAATGTAGAGGCATACTGCAGAGCAGTGGAGAAATTGACCGATCGGATAATACCAGAAGTATTATCGAATAATAAACTGAGATTATTACACAAGATTTACAGTCGCGCTAAATTTCCTTCGTCCTTGTCGAATTTCGTAAATCACGAGCGTGAAAATAATCGCGAAGTAGTTTCATTCAATTGTGAGGGCAAAACAATGACGCACGATACGTTAAATGTCGTTGAACAGGAAAATTGGATTCAGCAAACATGTTCGAAAATCAAATCCATACTCCCAGACCTGCACGCCAAAATCCGATTGCACTCGACAATCGCATTGGATTCGTATTGTTCGGAAAATATTTTTGCGGTGAACCACGCGATTTCGTTCTCCGACATAATTTCTAACAGCGCCATTCACTTTGCATCAAAAGATTGCGAGGATGATAAACCAAAGATCGACATTCGGAAAAAGATACAGGAGTTTTGCATGCAGCGGAAAAGAACTCTAAAAAAGAATAGAGACAAGAATGATATTTGTAAGAAAAGAGAGAAATGTGAAACGAAAAGGAAATGTTCGAAGAGAGAACAGATATGCGAGAGAAGGAGAATTGATTGTTCCGAGAGCAGAAAACGAACAGACAAGAGACAAGACGTAGTTCCTTGCAAAGAGAGAAAGAGGTCTTGCGATAAAAAAAGTGTCCGCGATTGCCATAAAACTCGCGAGCGAAAGATGAAGGTCCAAGAAGAACCGTGTAAACAGGTAAAAAAGGATGATATTTCTAGAGTAGAAGAAGATCCTTACCGTGGACAACGTCCCATGAAGCAAGAAGAAACTTTATATAAACTGCATGACACAAGTCCATGTAGGTCAGAGAAGAAAGAAGAAATAAAGGAGAAAGAAGAAATTAAAAAGCCTGATTGTACAGAGATTAAAAAAGTTGATCCATGTGAGAAAAAAACGTGTCCGACTGTAAAAAAAGCTCCAGAGTGTTCTGACGACAAGGCAAAAGAAAAAGGCTCTTGAAAATATGCCATTTATGCAGTGTTTACAATGTTTCTTGAAGCAATCTCTGTTTCATGCAAAGAAATTCATTATAGCGGATTAAAAAATTTTTCAGTAATTTTTAACAAATATTAATCACAAAAGTCCGTGTTAATTTGAAAATGATGAATTATTTAAGAAAGAAATCTAATTTATCGAATCTATTAATGTATTTCAACTACGATGTGATCTTCATAAAAAGAGAAAATATTATTTATATAGTATACCTATCAAGTATATAAGTTTTGTTGTAAATTCTGTGAATAATAATAAATATTATTTTACATAGTATTCTATATTTTTTAATTATAACTTTTTCAATTTTGGAGATGACTTCGGGTATATGTTCTGATTAGACTACATGACAACGTAATTTTTCATTACAGCTACAAGCAAAAGAAGAAGATTTGACTGCCAGACTTCGAGAATCTGGAATAAGCGAAGTAAGCTTTCGGAATTTTTACAATTTCACTTTTCTGGTGAAATTAATTATTTTTCTTTCTTGAATTTTCTTATCATTTGATAAACAAATTATAAAACTATACTGATATCTCGCAATTTTCAGTATATTATTTGTATTATTTTTAAAAATTACACGCGATTAAATTAAAGAAATAAGCATTGAAATAGAAATACATTGAAAACTTGCAAAAATGATCTGAATAAATGATCGCTGTGGCTCCACCTCCCTTCTGCCTCTTTTTCCATTGAATTGGCTACGTTAGGCTGTTCAAACTCTTACAACACAATATACATGAAAAAGGAAATCTTATTCCTATATAAATAATAAATTATTATAAATTCTATTTCTGATCGTTCTGGTCGTCCTCTCGCAGAGAAGAGAGAGATCAAGTTCGCCGATGAAATCTGCGGTAGAAATAACCGACAGTGGAAAACCGATTGATTCCAATGAGATCCAAATCAACAAAGATTCTTTATCGATCATCAATTCACGTCGACAGTTTATGGAAATTAATTTTGTCAAAGATTTCCAGCAAGATCTCAATTCGGCAACTGATTATAAGGAACGTTCCGACTTTTCTTTTCCGCGTGAGCACTTTGTCACTGGTCTTTGCCGTTGTAGCGAGTGTGGGTTAGACGAATCAAAGTTGTCGCAGGACAGACAAGGCAACGACGACTACTTCCCTCAAGGTGATGAATACGAAGAGGAGATCGGTATAGATGACCATCAATTGGGCAAGAAAACGCCTAGCAAAAAATCACCGCGTCTCGAGGACGAGCACGACAATGTTGAGGCAACAATGTTGACATTGAAAAATGATAAATGTATCAACGGAGGTCCATTAACGAGATTTAACTCGTATGTGCATTTTTCAAGCATTGAAGAACTAATAGTGGCTGATCGAAAAATGCTGTTGTCAAAGAAAGTTTCCAACAAGGACGCTGCCGAAAAATTGCAAACTCTGATCGAAAAAGTAAGGGAGTTCAAACGCCGAATTTTCCGACCCGAACGCGACGCACTGAAGACAGGAACTAGTGCGGACGGAAAGAGAGAAACAAAGATCGCCAAGAAAAATGAGAACAACGAATCAACGAATCGATTTATAAGTCAGAGGATCTCTACGTCGACGCATTAAGCTAGATCACAGCTTTGCCTAATTATATTTATGAATTTTATCCGCATTGAGTTATTCTTTTCCTTACTGCCATAAAAGAATACAAGCACTTTGCTTTTACCTTGATAAACTCTTGAAAGGAGGGAGGTGGGCCGAGAGCGCTGGTTGAGACTACCGCGACATTATTGAGGAAACGCAGCAAAATCCTTCACGATTTAATACGTAAAAACCAGCAGGCAATTAGTGGCAGAGTATTGCGGCTAGGTGAGCCAGACTGTGGCGAGGACTCACCTGGTCAACCAGAAGGGAATCCGTGCGAACCACCCAAAGGCCCCTGTCAGCCCGTCGTACCACCGGGCCATCCCTCCAAGCCCAAACCCAAAAGAAAGCCATTCTGCGTAAAATGCCCACCTAAGAGACCGTGCAAGAACGAGAAATGCTGAATTGCGCCAATAAGAGACAGAAGGTACGTGGAGGCATCAGCGACTATCGTAAATATTGTCCGATGGAAATGGAGAATTACTGCTATTTCTAGAAAAATATGAATGTACACGATTTCCTTTCTTCATGTCTTTTTTTTCGGATCCCGCAGGCTGCTAAGAAATTCGAACAAGTGGAAACTTCCCTGAAGAGTTTATCGAGAACTTCTGTAGTAACGCCAGAGGAATGTTCTAGTTTGAAAAACCGACACAACTTGAGACCCATCTTTGGAACAGGAAGATTAGAGCTTTATCGATGCAATTGTAAATTCCATTCAACAGATATACTCGACTCAGAATTGATTTGTACAAGAGATTTTAGTTCCTTCGAGAATAAGCCCAGGAACATAATCTTAAGGCATAAAGCGTTCGGTTGGATTCACGAACAATCAAGAAAACAATGTTTAAAGCGTTCGTTAATGGCGAAATCGTCATCCCCACCTTCTTATCTATCGTTGGAAACACATTCATTCATTGAGAAATATTTTCTACCATCGTTGCCTTGTCATCACGAATCAATCAGTTTGCTACGTTTCGTTTTATATCCAAAACCAAACGAGAAGCCGTCGTTTTTAAAGATCTGTAGTGAGAAGAGTTTACAATCTCTACAACATTCGAAGAGCTTAAAATCATCAGCACCGTCTTCTAAGTATCTGTTAAAACGGAAACTTTCATCTCCAGAACTTTGCAAACAATATTTTTCATCACGTCCTCTCTTTTATTCATCTTACCCACATTTACTTTCGCAAGATGTTACCGAAAGCATTCAGAGGCTTCCAAAATCACAACGGAACAATTATCCGATTTCCCTTCATAGAGTTCACCGGCGAGGATTTCACAGCTCTTTGTTCCCACTTGCTAAATCAGATTCTAGCAAGCCTTCCACTTGCAAGACGATGGATAAAATTTGCAAACCGACCGAGGCGAAGAAGACTGACGAGAGTGGCCAAGCTTGCAAGGAAAAGAGCGACGTGTGTCGCCAAGAGAAAGTCAAGTGCGATAAGTCGCAGCAAAACAAGGAGAAAGCGAGACAAAAACCCAAAAAGATGGACCCTGCGTGTAGGAAGACTTGCCTGCCAATAGGCAAGTGTGAGCTGCCCCGAACTGTTCCACCACCGAAGATGGAGTACGCGAAGGTGACGTGCTCTCCGCCGAAGTTTACGAAGCCTAAACCGTGTCCACCACTGCCGGAACATTTCGAGAAGGATGACAGATCTCACACAGAGATTAAATACAACGTACGAAACAAGCAAGTTTGTGCTCCGTCTCCATTGCCGAAGCCACCGTATCCACCTATCGTACTTTGTCCCTGTCCACCACCCCACAAAGTACATCCTGGACCGTGTCCATGCTACGAGATGAAGGAGATCGGTAAGCGACCCTCCGTGCGGCCGTGTCAGTTGAAGAAGAAATATCCCTGTCCCACGTCAGTGCACTATTGTCATCTGCAGAAAAAGCCCTGCAATCTAAATCTAAAACGGGAGACTGACTGCAAACGTAGGAAGAAAGAGGAGGCGGCATCTTGAAGGTTCGCGCGAGTGATGTGCGTGTAGCACAATATTGGCCGTCATTTTCTGGAAAATCGAGAAACTTTTAATAGAAAAGCGGATTTGTATTAAGCAGGTTTAAAATGCCAAACGATCTCTTCCATCAAAAAATTAAACGTTGATTTAGATTGACAGTAATTATTTTCACATTTATATGCGAAATACTGACTCATGTAAATTGCTTTTATGCAAAGTTTCAACATTTCCACGAAATAATGACCGATGTTGTTCAACGATACATGGGCACTGTGCGAATTTTTACTTTCCTTAAGTAATGAATACTCAGGATATTAATAGGGATAGGTTTTATAAAAGAATCGTGAGGTCGAGAGAACGAGAATAAATGTGCGCAGCAGCGATTACTGCGAGATCTATGAAATTAGAGATTCGGTCTCCTGGATCGATAATTGTCAACAATTTAAGACCGACTCGTTCATCTTCCGTCAGCTCCGCGATTGGTAGCGTATTTATTTTTCCGTTCAACGATTTCCCGGTTTATCCATCCATAACTTTTTGTTTCTAAAGAAGCACCACTGGTCGCGAGAGTTTAGTGTAAGGTGAACAAACCGGCTGCCGATGCATGTTGCTTGTCGCGTGACCAACGGATTATCTATTCTAAAATTATATACTGATAATACGCGTGCGTGTTTCAGCGTAACATGGGACGATTCCTATAAATGTTAGCTACAATTCAATAAGCGTGTATAACGTTTGTCGGAATGCATTAACTTGAAAATACAAACACATTATGCATATCAGTAATGTCATGCATTATAAAATAAATTTGTCATGAGCAATCCGTACGTTATTATGTATAAAAATTAAATTTACATCATGTTTCCGCGCATTACGTTAGCAGCGCAAGAAATTTGCTAATTCGTTTTAGCTACGAACTTAAAAAAAAAACATTTCTTTCGTAACTTTGGATAGATTTTGTTGTGGTCATACGGCATCCGACGTGCATTTTATTAATTTTTTTAAAGATAAGTTCAAGTTCTAAATTCGCATAGATCTCGCGGTAAATTACACAAGCAGAACACACTACTTTCTCTCTTTGCGCTCAATCTAAGTTAACATTTTGTCGCAGAAGAGCGGACGAACAGTCGACTAATCGATGAATTTTTCCATTAACAAACTTACGAAATGTAAACCTGGGAATTGGAATTTGATTTTTTTTTTCGAATATTAAATATTTTCTCTGACATAAAACACGGCAAATTCTTATGAGCAATTAAAAAAATATTTACCAAACGCACAAATTAAAACAAATTTGTACGGAGAAAAATTTTCAATTTATACATATATTACACGTGCTATGTCGAATATAGAAATTTTAACTGCACGTTTATCAATCGACTATGTATCCCCGCACACATACGCTTGTAAATAAAATCTTGTCTAGCACTGTTCATTATTTGACGCTGGGCTTTCTTTGAGCGTAAGAGTGTGACTTGAGGACAGCTGTATTTTCTTTGAAACGCGGAAGGGACAGTACAGATTCCGACGAGGGCCTCATTTCGCGGGTTCCACAAACGCTTCTGCTCAGCGACAGGTCATATTCATCGCTACGTTCGAAAGGGGTGATGAAAATGGGGAGAAAGGGAGGGGAGGGTGAACGGCGGATTGCTGTGAATAGAGAAAATCGATTTCCATCGCTCGGTGATCGGCTCGAATATTTGATTCGATCCCGCGTCTACTGTCTGTACACGCGATAATAATCGCGGCCGTACGTGCGACACCGCCTCTGCCTCCGTTCTCGACGTACGTCATGGCACGCGAGTGTGTGCGTACGGGCGGGCGCGCGATACGAAATCGGCATCAAAAGCGTCTCGTTACAATAATATCGACATTTATATACGACGGGGTCTCGGCCGGGAGGAAGTTCGGTCCGCGGGCGGCGGAAAGACGACGGTCCTTATCATTTTATTATTGGGGCGGGTGGGCAACCCTCGCCCTTCTCGGAACGACGCTTTACTTTTACCTCCCCATTGTCTGTCCCTCCAGTCGGGCCTCGACGCCCTCTTAAAGGCTTAAGCGCCGTTTCCAAGCGCCCAATAGGATAATCTAGCCTCTCCACCACGTTTCCTGTTTATTAAAATGGAAGCGGCGCCGTCGTTCGCGCCGTTGTGCCACGTGTACGCTTAATTTTATCAAAGCTGTCGTTTCAGACAAATCTCTCTCTCTCGCTCCCTAATACGCGAATATAAATTATACAAATATAATGCGTACAAGGAAACTAAATAGCATATTTTGTCCTCGACATATAAAAGTATTTGATACAAGTCGCCACGCAGATCGAAAAAAAAATTTCATCGTTCGGTTGTCTTGAGAAGATTTTTATTAAGAACAATATCGATTCCGATAGAAGCGCAATCGACGTATACATTCCAGTATAGTATTATATCAATTGCCGGGAATTCAAGAGAGAGCGGTCTCGGCCGAAATCGCTTTCGATGAGAGAGTTATCTCGCGCTCGCGGAAACTTCTCCCACGGTGTTCTCCTCGCGGCAGGTTTCACCGGTGCAAGATATCGCGAGCATTATCACGGGCGTTCACCGTGATTGGTCGGATTCGAGGGTATCGTCTCTTTTTCCACCCTCTCGCTCGACCAATAAGTGACGTTTCCAGCCGAGAAAGGGTGCGGAGGGTAGGGAGCCCGAAAGAGGGTGGCAATTCGGCGAGAGAGACGAGACGTGCAATGTTCCGAGGGGGTTGCGAAGGAGGAAGAGGAGGAGGAAGTGAAGCGAGAGGGGAGGAGGAGGAAGAGGAGGAGGAGGAGGAGGAGGAGGAGGACGAAGAGACGGGAAGGGGAGAAAACTCTCCGCGTGGAAGAGAGCCGAGCGAGTCGGGCTTCTCGGTGGAAACAAGCGGGATGGATAAACTTCGGAGCGACTGTCCCCGAGGCTGATGCATAATTCAGGAATCGTCACCGGCGAGGATATTGCCAATTTGGCGTCGATGAAAATACGATCGGATTTGTGTCGGCTACCGCCCAGAATGGGGCTCGCTCGCCAGGATACACATCCAGTGAATTTAACACCTTCGCCCGACCGACCGACCGCCCACCCTGCCGTGCGTAATTGCATCGCGACCAATCCGCGGCTGGTGTACACACGATCGCCTCTCTAATAGCGTTCGCCGTTTTCACGCCGTTTCCGATATGGACGGGGAGTTAAGAGTTCTGTGACATCGCCGGACAAATTACGGCGGGCGGGCAGCTTCGCGCGGCGCTTTATCGTCGCGCGGCGGCTGCAATGAACGGTGAAACGCGATGAGATATAATACGGAAAAGCTCCGCTCGGCACGACGATTTTTGTTCCAGTCAGTTCGATGTACCGAGCTCGTTTAGAATCTGAAATGTCATTACATATAGGAAACTCATTTGCACACGTGTAATTTATGCTAAAACATTGCAGCATTTAAATGATTTTTAGGTGATAATTGTCTTACGGCCCAAGCACACGAAAAAACTTAGTAAGACTTAAGAATTTCAACCAATCGAAATTTTCAGCGTTGCTTAAATTTCAAAACGGCTACTTACGTTCTCGACTCTCATTGGTCATTTACCTTCACCCTCAGAAAGGATTTTTGAGACAAAAATATTCCTGACGCATTTATATTTCTCACAACCTCATTTAGTATAAAAATAAGACAATATCACAATGAAATCAATAATTCTTATACTCCTCTATCGAATTAAGAAAGATCGACTTACTATATTGAGACAAGAGTAACTTATATAAATATAAGTTTATATATTCTTGCGTTTAGAATAAATTTTTCCTCCATCTTACAAAGCACGAAGTTGGCACGATATTCGACGATACGCACTATCATTTTATTCTAGATTTTAGAATTTTTCATTTTATAATTTGAAATATTACGCAAGATCGATTACCTCGATTCAATCTTTACTGTAATCAATCCTTTTATGAGGGACAGTAAACGTTACGCCGTTTTTAAATAAATCCCACCATGAAATGCTGAAATAACGTACAGATTGATCCCGAGTACAATCTTCTCCTTTAAATTCAAAGGCTTATATAGAATATCCCGTATCCTTTTCTTTCTCCAAACCGGCGACGGCGCGATTCTGATACTGATTGATGAAAGATTATCGGTTTTCCATGGTTTTCGCCGCAAGAATTTTCGAGGGTGGCGGCCGAGCGGACCGTATAAAGAAGGATCGTTCGACGTTCGACGATTTTCCACGGATGCGGGGACAACGCGCGGCATGAAATATTTATAGGGAGGGGAGAGGCGGGGTCCGAGATATCGGGGCGCGATGAAAAGAATACATTCCGGATCGATTCAATTTGTCAACGCGCCGCTAATTGCGTTATTATGCCACTCTTTTGTCCGCCGAAACGCCTCGATCATCAATAATCTATAAAAACTTGGCGTTGATAGCGATGAATTGGTGAGCGGAGAGAGGATTCGCGGAGATTACGAGAGGATTATGATTTCCTAATGTAGCTTAGATTAATGAATGGAGGCGATGGTAGCGAGTTTTTTCGTTAGGGATAATTGACTTGCTGGACAGAATAGTACAAGTTGTGTTTTTCCGCGCTTTGAGAAACAAAAGGATTCGTAAAAGTATAGTGTCATTAATCTATGACCTCCTTTAGAGGAAATTTTTTACACGAAAACGATCTCGAGAGGAAGAAATAACATTTTAGAATTTGATTTTTTATGACAAATTCAATCTATTCAATTATTAAAATTACTCTCTTATGATTGATTTATAATGAGGACTTCTCGCATTTTACTTTTGATAAATTGAAAATTATTTTCGAAGAATTTTTTTATAAAAGGAAATAATGTGGAAGAGTAGAGCCAAGTTGAAAAAAATGTGGCAGTTTTCTTGCAAATTTATTTCTCGGGCGGACGAAGGGCTTGGTGACTTGGCCACCGGGTACCAGAAGGCGGGAAGAGTCGAAGATTTATGATACCGGATGCGCAAATACGGTGAAACTTCC